GTGTATGCAAGCATGTGCATGTGTGTGCAAGCATGTGCAAGCATGTGCATGACCCAGCAATCCSCCTGCATGTGTGTGCAAGCATGTGCATGTGTATGTGCATACATGTGTATGACCCAGACACCACCCCGCATGCATGTGCATGTATGTGCAAGCATGTGTATGTGCAAGCATGTGCATGTGTATGTGCAAGCATGTGTATGACCCAGCAACCCCCTTGCATGTGTGTGCAAGCATGTGCATGACCCAGCAACCCCCCCAACCCCTTGAAAGCTGCTCCTGGGACTGTACGGGACAGAGCAGAGAAGGAAAGCGAGAAGAAAAAGAGCTGGGAAGAGAAGAGAGGAAGAGAGTGAGGASAGAGAAGGGGGAGAGGCAGCGGCAGGATCCCGGGCGGCCGCCCGAGGAGGAGGAGGCCGAGCAGGGCGCGGGGCCGCCCCGCCGTGCCCGCCAGCTCCGTCTGGCCCCGTCTGCGGCAGCAGCAGCTCAGGAAATCGGGAGCAAATGCGGCACTGGCAGCGCGGCCGGGCGGGCAGGGCGGCTGCCGCGGGGAGGGCACGATGCCCGGCGCGGCGCCCCCGATGCCGCCCGCGCGCTGTGCGCGGTGCCCGGCCGCAGCACCGGCCCCGCCGCCGGCCCCGGCCCCACCAGCCCCGTTTCCCACCGAAGGGGCCGGCGGGGCGGCTGCGCTCACTCCATGGAGGCTCCTTATGCAACGCCACGACTTGGAGCATCGCCGGGCTCTTGCCACGGCCCGGCTGCCAATTCAACCAAATGTGAGCCGGGGGAGTGRGGGGGGGGGCGCCCAGGGCGGGCTCAGCCCTCTACGAGACATCAGAGAATCCCCCAGCGCCGGCTGTCCCCACGGGCGCTCTTGGGATTGTCCCCTGCGCCCTGCGGGGCTTCGGCGCGTGCGCAGGGGGACGGGGGTGACAGTGGCACCCGCTGCAGGGCCGGCCTTGTGGTGGTGGCGCGAGGTCACGCGGGGACGGTGTCCCCAGGCCAGCGCTGCGCCGGTGGCACCGCGGCTCCCCCGTGGGCACCGACGGCGGCCGCGGCGGCACCAGGGGCTGCGCGTGCAGGTTGGCGTGCGCCCCGCGCGCACACGCGTGTGGCAGCGCCAGCCCCGGCCTCGCGCCGGGTGCCGCCCACGCCGGGTGCCACCTGCCTGCCCGGCTATTTCTGCCTCCCGCCTGGATTTAATTCCAGCCTGGTGGTGGCTGCCGTGTAATTAGGAGCCCAAAAAAAGGCCCCGCAGCCGCCCCGGCACCTTGTAATCTTCAGCAGGGGAGGAAGGAGCTCTCTGCGGCCGTGGGGGGAGTGCGGGGGCCCTCGCAGCCGTGCAAGCGCTCCGTGCACACGAGCCATGCATGCACTCCATGCACACGAGCCATGCATGCACTCCATGCACGAGCCGTGCATGCACTCCATGCACAAGCCATGCATGCATTCCCTGCACACCATGCATACAAGCCATGCAAGTGCACCGTGCAAGCGTGCCATGCAAACACTCTGTGCACACGAGCCATGCAAGAATGCTGTGCACACATGCCGTGTTGTGCAAGYGTGCCATGCAAGCACTCCGTGCACACGAGCCGTGCACGCACTCCATGCACGAGCCGTGCAAGCACATTGCGCACACATGCCATGCAAGCACATTGTGCACATATGCTGTGCAAGCGCATTGTGCAAGCGTGTCATGCAAGCACTCCGTGCACCAGAGCCATGCAAGCACTCCATGCACACGGGCCGTGCAAGTGCATCATGCAAGCGTGCCATGCAAGCACTCCATGTGCACRAGCCGTGCAAGCACATTGTACACACAAGCCATGCAAGTGCACTGTGCAAGTGTGCCATGCAAACACTCCACGTGCATGAGCTGTGCAAGCACATTGTGCACACATGCTGTGCAAGCGCACTGTGCAAGTGCCCCGTGCAAGCATGCCATGCAAGTGCACAGTGCAAGCGCACCGCACAAATGCGCACCTCGCTGCATGCACAAACATGCCCTGCAAATGCATGCTGTGCACGCTTGCTACACACGTGCACAAGGATGCATGCACATGGCTTGCATGTGGCACACACCCATGGGTAGGGAGCCTGGGGGGGAACATGCAGCCTTTTGGGGTCCCCTTGGTGGGGCTCCCCCTCTYCCACTCCCACCACATCATGAGCCCAGCCCCAGGCGAGAGGCCAATTTGGGGGATCAAAGGTGCCCTGAGTCCCCTCCCAAGCCCCAGGACGTGGCCCTGTGGCCAGGGACCCCTGTCCCCCTGCCCATGGGGGCACGGCAGGACGCTGGGGGCGAATCCCTCGCTAAGAGCTTGAGCCCATTAGACAGGGAAGCCGTCGGGAATAAACCCCTTAGCGGGATCATCCTGCTTAGGGCCGCGCGCGGCGCCTCTGCGGGGCTCTTCACACCTGCGGCGCCTTCGGCCTCACCGCCCTCACCTCGCCTGACCTCGGGGACACCGCGGGGACACSGCGGGGACACAGTGCGGATACCATGGGGACACCTCAGGGACCACGGCCACTCATCACCACACTGCCGTGGGGCGCCCCACAAGCCTGTCGCTGCTGCTCTGGGTCTGCAAGGGGACCAGGACACCACAAGGGAACTGGGACACCACAAGGGAACTGGGATACCACAAGGGGACCAGGACACTGCGAGGGGACCAGGACACCACAAGGGGACTGGGACACCACAAGGGGACCAGGACGCTGCAAGGGGACCAGGACACCACAAGGGGACCAGGCTGCAGGGACACAAGGTCCCTGGATCTGTCCCCAGCAGCCAGGAGGTCATTTGCCCTCCTGCGCCCCTTCCCTGCCCCCTTCCTCCTCCTCTTCCTCCCCGCTCTCCTCCTCCTCCTCGCCCAGCCCTTCTCCCTCATTAGGCTCCATCTCCCAGCATGGAAGTCACGGGTGCCCAGGGTAGAGGGCAATGGGCCAACCCCCCTCCCCGGGTGGCATGTTTTTGGGGGGTGACACAGGGTGCCGCTGTCGCCGTCTGTGGGGACCGAGGGGAGGAGGAGCAGGGTGGCCTCGAGGACGGGGACAGCGCCGGGCCRGGCTGCCACATCAGCAGGGAGCCGCAGCTGGGAGCCAGATGCCGGGGGCGGCGCGGGAAGGGCCGGAGCGCGGGGCGAGCGGGGCGCCGTGGGGGGGTCCTGCCGGCCCCCCGTCCCCACCAGGGACCCCAGCGATGGGTGGCACGAGGACACCTGGCCCGGGACCCCCCCCCCCCGGGCTCCCCAAGGCCCCAAATGCAGGAAGGAGGGATGGCCGGGAGGGAGGGATGGACGGAGGGGAGGCGGTGCCGAGAGGAGAGGGGCTGGGGGCTGGGGGGGCAGCTCCTGGTTGCGGGGGGAGCTCACGGCTGGGGACAGTATCTGGGGACCCTTGCGGCACCTCCCGCCTCGGGATCGTTGTCACCCATGAGCCCAGGAGTCCGGGCAGCCGCTGGGACCCCCCCCCGAGCCCCCTATGCGGCACCAGTGGGACTGGCAGAGAGGGCAGGGGGCAGCAGCCTCAGACCCCACCTCAGGAAAAGGGCAGAAAAGCCCCCAAAACACCCCAAAACCGAGGCAGCAAAGCTGGACGGGGGCAGCCCCATGGGCGCCAGGACGCCTGGGCCCCCTCTCAGATCTGGGGGACCGGGGGGGGGGACCCGCGGCGCGGCTGCCCGCCGGTGGCGCGGGGCAGGGCGCAGCCGGGGGAGGCGACAGCGGCGCGAGGGCCGCCGTGTCCCCACCGCGCCCCATGCCGCAGCACGGACAGCGCCACGAGCCCCTGGGGGGCTTCGTGCAGCAGCCCTACGGGTAAGGGGGCGCGTGGGGGCGGGCTGGGGGTCCCCGCCAGGAGCCCCCCTGCTCCATCGCCTCGCTGTCCCCCCAGGTTCCTGGTCATCTCCGCCTGCCTCCTGATCGCCGTGGCCCTCCTCATCATCGTGGTGGC